CAGTGCTCTAGTTTTTTGAGCTCAACACGAGCCACTTTGATGGCCGGCCCGGAACACCAACATTTTTACCGCTAATGTTTTAGCCGCTTTTCTCACTGTTTCACACCTCCCACTACAAATAATACACTTTTGCTAGCCTCTACCCACCTTTTTGAAGGATAGGTTTCTGAAAAAATTCAGATGTTCGATCTAAACTCAGTTCCCTTTAATGCCTTCTAGCAACCTTGATATTTGAACTATTTCACTCGCTGACTTTTATCCAATTTCCTCCGGACTGGAACATTTCTGAATTGAAGTGCAGATTTTAAGTCCAAACTAGGCCCGTTTCGACGCCCGCTCCACCTTTCCACTGATATTTACTTCCCCACTTTCGATTTCTACTCAATTCTTTTCCAGACTCTAAAACGTTGCAAAACAGCGTTATAAATTTTTATAGTGAAGATCTTCCAATTAGGAGCACGTCTCCGAAAAATAGGCCCGAGTTCCCTCTACTTTGCCTTCTTAGCTGCTTGAAAGCGTAAGGAATTTTTTTTTTCCTCTGAGAAATGAGCCTTGTTGGTTCATTTTACGCTTTTGCACCTTGTAAGCTTCATGCGTTTTTACGCTTAGATAACGCTCACTCTACGCGTTCTTAGCCTGCCCTAGCTACGAAAATTTGATCTCTCATCGCGCCCTCATAGGATAAAAGGTCCAAAGCAGAAATTTTCCTCACTTTTGATTTCACCCATGAGCTTTAGTTTTGGTGTTTCTGGTTTTTTTTTCTGGTACAGCTAGAGGAGGCTATACGTTTTCATCGTTCAAGAGGAAAAAGACGGCACTCTTACAAGTGAAAAAAGTCGTCTATAACGACTGAAAATCACTGGAAGTTGAGGGTAATTGAAGAAACCATGAGCATTCAAATTCGTCCATTTTCAACGAATTATGTTTTACGCGACAGTTACGGTTCACGTGCAATTGTATCGTAAAAGTAACGAAGTCACGTTGCACACGTGGTTCACCGCACAAAAATGGATCTGATGAGTTTTGCGGATCAGCGGAAAAGCTGAAGGAAAAACTCATCGCAAAAATGAATGAGAACCTCATTGTACGACAAATGATATTGGCTGAATGACGCTGATAATCCTCAAGGAGGCCTTCACAACATTTTAAAAGCAAGCTAGGCGGCAGGACGTTTATATCATGAGGTTACTAGGCAGATGCTGAGTATACCTCACTCCCTTGCGGGTACTAGAGCATGCTGTCAGCAATGCTGAAACGTAATTTTCGTCCCCGCCGCAGAATCTCGCGAACTATAGTCATCTCCCTGAAACATGTGCGACCAATATTTTCTATGATGCTCTTGATATCGGTCGGGTCCTTCCCTTTGTTGAAGATTTCGTATACGCTGTGTAGACCAAGTCAGCCATTCAAAAATCGGCGACGGCCCTTAAACAGCCATGCATATCGAAGGCAACCGCGCTCAACGCTTCTTTCCAGCGTGTTTGTGTTCGTCTCCGTCATACTACTGCCACTCACTCATCCTTCGGTATTATTGTGTCGCTCGGCGTAAGGTATGACGCGTCATAGTACCACATGCTGCTTCCAAGAAAGCGCCCGAGACAATACCGGTTTTGGCAATTACGATTTTGTACCAATTCCACCATCAGTGTGTCACCTTTGCATTCACAAATCAACCCTAACAAAATTTTCTCAACAAAATCGTAACTGCCAAAAGTATTCAGGCCTACGAAAGGGAAGAGGGCTAAGATAGTCAGCCGCGTAGCCATCTTCGACAACTACCGACAAAACCTTCAGGGATCCCAACGTGGCACAACGGTTAGGTGCCGCCTGTTCGATTCTAAGCGTAGCGAATTATGCTAATGATGACAGACGCACTCTTATGCTCACGCGACCATTCCAAACTCAGCCACCTTCCTCTTCCGATTCCACTTCACAATTCATGCACATGCCTTCACAGAGTGGATGAACTAGCTGCGCCTCGCACACTGTGGGTGAAGCTTTCTCTTTGATATATGCATCTACACACCAGGCCAAATAATCGTATGAGCACCGCTGCGTAGCAGTTTGTCTGGTTTCCGCTGTTCGCAACCAGCCACTAGCAGATCACCACCGTCCTGGTATGCGTTAAGTTAAGAGCAGTTCATTTAAGCACTTAGCTTCCGTACGAGCTGAGCTCGCCCACGCCCACACTTTTCTGTCCATTTCGATGAGAGTACCAAGATCAAATCATCCCTAAGTGTATGGCGCACATCACCCACCCGCCGGGTCTACTGGCCGTTTCAATAAGAGGCAAAGGGTTTTTATTTCAACCGGATTAAGTGACTGACTACAGATACCTTACTGCGTGACTATCCACATTGACGTTTTGCAGTACGAATTTCGCATCGATCAAAGGGCCTCTTAGACAGCGACGGATTTTTAAACCTGAGAAGGCTTCCGGACGACCCCCAGAGCTCTTGTGCTCTTGTGCTCAAGGCTCTCGAGATTGTAGGAAATACTGAAGAGGTCGTGAAGCCATTAAAAGGTTCATGTTTGACAATGATCTAGCGGGTTATCACATAAATGCCGACTATCTCTTTCTTGCCCCCCCCCCTCCCTGACGTACCCTGCGTATGCATCGCATCCAAATTATTCAGTAGATAACCTAGCAACGACGACACGTGCCTGTGCCAACAAATTTTTCTCGCACTCCTTTTGAAGATCGTCCAGTCAACATAGATGACATTCGTCGAGCTCTGCAAAGAGCAAACCCAGCTTGTTCCACGATTCCTTATTGGATAGTGCGGAAAGCAAATACGATTATCGAGCGTTCCACAAAACAACACTTCATTTTATTGCACGAACTTGAGTAAATGGTATGCACCTAATTTAGTTCAGTTATCTTTTGTCTTCCTTGTGGTAGTTCTTTAACTCGTCCCAGCAGACTTTCCGAATTTTGGGACACAAAAATGTACCATATAAAACTTGACATCTCCACCTTTGTAAAAGTTTTTCCATTGGGGGATTTCTGCAACGGCTGAAATAAGTGGTATCCAGATGCCGCGAGGCCTGGTGATGAGACATTTACTTTTAGCCAAGCCTCGATAATTTTTGCTGAGACACCAAAAATATATGAAAATGTTCAGAGAATCGTACGGAAAATTTAGGAAGCAGATTTGAGACCATTTCCGGACTTGAATGATACAGCTCGATTTCAACAATGGATTTGTTCACTGTAGTCTGATATAATGATGAAGCAATTGTCGTATGCGAATTCGGGCGCGAAAAAATTGCCGCGCCTAGCTTTTGATGGGACAGAGAAAAAGGAGTACGCATGACTGGTGTTTAACTTAACGCTGTGTTTTTAAAAACTAAGGGGAGGACCGAATCGCTATAGTTAGCTCCATGTACGGCTTTCTATGAACCTCGGCATCATTGTATTATTGAGTTTACTGTTTTCTTGAACTCTTCACGAGGTTTTTAAATATCCTTTATTAGGCTGACGTTTCGGCGGAATCGCCTTCTTCAGAGCCTGAAAGGATCATAACAATCTGTGACTATCCGACCAAACGTCTCCACCAACCCCAC